AACTTGTACCATTTCTAGAATACAGATGATGCCACGCTGCAATTTGTGTACAACTTACATTGTACAAATTTCTTTTAATTGGAAATAAGACCCATATTTTCATATCAGTATATAAAAATCAATATGTAAACCTCTAAATGAAAAGGTTTTCAGAATATTTAGCATATTCTGAACTTTTCTATAGGTGCTTAAATTTTGGGGAAAATGTTTATTAATATAACTAATATGTAGGTATAACATAAAAATGGATGTATATAATATGAAATTGAGTCAGTATAGTTTCAAATTTCCATTTGTTGATATTCATTCCAAAAAAGTCAGTATTGCAATTAATAAACTATTGAGTGAAGTTTAAGATTTTATGGAACTTTTTTCCCCTTTGAACATGTTCCAGTATGATTATAAAATGAGTATTGTGTTCAAAAGTTAATTGGAAAAAAAATTTTTTTCATTATAGTTACGTTACCATTTGACATATACCTAGGTTCATTTGTTTCCATATTTTCAATTTGGGGACTTTGGATCTTTTATTTGGTTTAATTTTTTGAATATTTAAAATATATACAGTGGTACAAACGTCAAGATTATGTAAAAATGTACTCAGAAGTCTTAACTTTCATTCATGTTTCTCCATCCAAACCCATAGGTAACCATTATTAGTGGTTTCTGGGTTATCGTCCCAATGTTTCTTTTTGGGAAAATAGTAAAATACTCCTATGTATTTTTAACTCCCCCCCCCTTTCTTTTAAAGATTTATTTATTTAACAGAGAGAGACACAGAGAGGGAACACAAGCAGGGGGAGTGGGAGAGGGAGAAGCAGGCTTCCTGCTGAGCACGGAGCCCGATGTGGGGCTCGATCCCAGGACCCTGAGATCTTGACCTGAGCCAAAGGCAGATGCTTAACGACTGAGCCACCCAGGCACCCCTTTAACTCCCTTTTTTAAATACAAACTAGCCTGTGTACCGTCCTGCACCTTGCTTTTTTAACTTACTATATCTTGCAGATCATTCCACATCATTTCATAGAGATCTTCCTCATTCTTAATGGCTACATAGTACTTTGTTGTTTGGATGAATCATGATTTATGATTTTTTAAGTGTCCTCTATTGATGGATTTTTGGATTTTTTTAAATCATTTGCTATTCCAAATAATGTTGTAGTATAGAACTTTGTGCATATGTTTTGATTCAATGAAAGTGCATCTTAGAGTAGATAATTTTGCACATGTAATTTTGTTATATTTGCCAAATTTCCCTTTCTCACTGTTGTAATCATAGAGATGAACAGGATATGAGAGTACCTGTTTCTCCACAGGCTTGTCAAGAGTATGTTGCCAAACTTAAGGATCTGATGGTAGTCTTAATTTATCCTTTGATGAATGAAAACAAGCCTTTTTTCATATGTTTCATGGTGACTTTACTTTCCTTTTCTCTGAACTATCCTTCATATCTTTGGCTTTTTGGTTTTGGCCTTTTTCCTTTTAGTTTTTAGAAGCTCTTTCTGTATTTGAGAGATTAACCCTTTGAGATATAAATTGCAACTATTTCTCCTGGTTTGTCACTTGTCTTGTAACTTAAATTATGATGAATCTTTTCAGCTTTTTTTGCCATATGGTTATATTTTTAGGTACTTGAATTTATCAAGGTTTTCCCTTTAAAGCTTCTGGATTTTGAGTCATAATTAGAAATACTTTCCCTACACCCAATAATAAAGAAATTTACACATTTTCTTCTATTAATATGGTTTTGTTTTTCTACTTTTAGATTTGATTCATTAGTGTTTTATTCTGATGTATGGTGTAAAGTATGGGTCTGATTTAATCTTTTTCCAAATGGCCATCTACTTGTCCCAAAGCCATTTATTGAATAGTCTAACTTTTCCCCCAGTGATTTGAAATCCCACTTTTTATTATATATCACATTTTCTTGCATGTTTGGACTTTATTCGGGCTTTTATGTTCTCTTTCATGGGTTTTTAGGTTACTCATGCACCAATATCACACTTTTAATTATGTAGACTTTATAATATGTTTTAATACCTGATAGGGCTACCTTACCTCCCCAGTTCTTTTGTGGATTTTGCCGGATATTCTTATTTTTCATGTAAACTTTAGATTCAGCTTCTGTAGCTCTGGGAAAAAATTGGTATTTTTACTAAGGAGAATTGACATCTTTATTATGTTTAGTCATCTAAGACATTTATTCAAGTCTGTGTTTTTCAAGAGTGATTTTTCAGAAGTTTTTTATTACAGAAATTCAAACACACAGAAATAAAAATAATAGTATAATCAACCCCCATGTACTATTTCCCAGCTTCAACAATGTATATCATTTTTAATAGCTGGCATTCTTATAAGCAGGGTTCAGTTCGTGACTATGTTTATCTGACTTCAAAAGGCAGTTTTAGTATGGTCAGTATAACTCACAGAAGAGTTTCTAGGTGAGCTGCAATGGTTATCACATTTATATAGTCTCTGAGAATTTTTTTTTTTTTAAGTAAAGAGCTGTTGATCTTTGAACTCTTCTAGATAGTAATTAACTGTTTCAGACAGTAATTTGTAACAATGAAAAAAGGAAGTCCTATTCCCTATCAAAGTGTAATACTTAAAAATTAAACATAATTATAAATTTAGAATGAACCTATGTCATAGATTTTAATTCAATTCATTAAGTATTGAGGGAGCTAGTAAGATGGTAAAACTGGCTCTACGTATTTGAGGAAATTGAGTTGATACAGTCCTTTAAAAAAAAATAATAATGTTAGAACAAGATTGCTAGGTCAGAAATAAAACTGGCTAATGTCTTAAAGGTAAGTTTGGGTTATCTTTTCTACTGGACAGAAATCATTTGCCTATCTATTGGACACAAATCTATAGGTTAATATATAACTTCATAGAGTCTGGGTCTTTAATAGTAAGTAGCTAAGTCAGAATTGTTTATTCATCTAGGAAATTAATCCTTAGGTGGACATGTTAAAACAAAGTTGGCAAACTAGAGTATGTGGGTCGGGCGCCAGGGTGGCTCAGTTGGTTGAGTGACTGCCTTCGGCTCAGGTCATGGTCCCGGAGTCCTGGGATCGAGTCCCGCGTCGGGCTCCCGGCTCAGCAGGGTATGTGGGTCAAATCTGGCCTGACCTTTGTTTTTATAAAGTTTTTTTGGAATATAGCCACACTCACTTAGTATCTATGGGGGCTTTTGCACCATTGTGGCAGAGTTGAGTAGTTGTGACAGACTAGTGGCCCACAGAGCCTAAAATATTTACTCTTTGGCCCTTTTCAGAAAGGTTTACCGACTTCTATATTAAGCAGTGTTTCAGGATGATACTGAAAGGACATGTTGCCACTAACTTGGTCTTCCAGGATTGGGATAATTTTTTTAAGAACATACATGAACATTCAGATGATAAAATCCGCTCTGCCTGATATTTTTGTACCTAATGAGCATTTTAACCCCCTCTTCTCTTTCTGTATTTTTACTTTATGCTTGTATATCTTTCTCATTGGTGTAGCCACATTTCTAGTTGTCTTTCTGTCTTTTCCTATAATTCTGCTTTTTCTTCCTGCTCTGTATTTCACTCTTTTTTCCCCCTTCTTCTTAAACTGGCTGTAATGTGGAATATTAATATATTTAAATTTGGTACTGGAAAAGTTTTATATTCTTGGTCCTTAATTTTTAATTTAGGTGAGTTCAAACTATGTGTTTGCCTCAAAATACAAACCAATTTGAGATACAAAATTTTTGTGAATTTCATTAATCTCTTTTCTGCCACTCACCTCTACACCCCAACCCCAGTTACAGCTTTCAGTTAAAGAAAAGTTCCCTACACGGCTTTAATTAAGCTAAAGGAGTGGGAAGAGGCATGGAAATAAAAGGACTCTCTTAGTCCTAAACTGTGTTAGAATATTTTAAAACATTTTTTCCAGGGTGCCTGGGTGGCTCATTGAGTTAAGCATCGGACTCTTGATTTCAGCTCATGACATGATCTCAGAGTCATGACGAGCCCTACATCGGGCTCGGCACTGGGCGAGGAGCCTGCTTAAGAGTCTCTCTCTCACTCTCCTTCTGCCCTTCCCCACCCTCTCTCCCTCTCTAAAAAAATAAAAAAACAAAACATTTTTACATAGTTTCTTTTTTTTTTTTTTTAAGATTTTATTTATTTGATAGAAAGCTCATGTGAGAGAGAGCATGAGCAGGGGGAGGGGCAGAGAGAGAAGCAGACTCCCATCTAGCAGAGAGCCCAACACAGGGCTTGATCCCAGGACCTTGGGATCATGACCTGAGCTGAAGGCAGACACTTAACCAACTGAGCCACCTAGGGGCTCCCCTCATCGATAGTTTCTTAAACTAAACTTAAATAAAACTGCAGAATTAGGGGCGCCTGAGTGGCTCAGTCGGTTAAGCGTCTGCCTTCGGCTCAGGTCATGATCCCGGGATCCCGGGATCGAGTCCCACGTCGGGCCCCTTGCTCCGCGGGAAGCCTGCTTCTCCCTCTCCCACTCCCCCTGCTTGTGTTCCCTCTCTGGCTGTGTCTCTCTCTGTCAAAAAAATAAATAAAATCTTAAAAAAAAAAAATAAAACTGCAGAATTAGAGTCCTGCTAGCCTATTTTCCTGCGGATTGTTAAGTCTAAACGTATATTTTTCTATTTAGAAAAGGTTACATTTGGGGGCGCCTGGGTGGCTCAGTTGTTGAGCGTCTACCTTCGTTCGACTCAGGTCATAATTCCAGGGTCCTGGGATCAAGCCCTGCGTTGGGCTCCCTGCTCGGCGGGGAGCCTGCTTTTCCCTCTCCCCTGCCCCTGCTTGTGTTCCCTCTCTCACTGTCTCTGTCAAATAAATAAATGAAATCTTTAAAAAAGAAAAAAAAGAAAAGGTTACATTTAGTGTAGACATTTCAAAGTTACACCTTTTTATTCTCACATCCTGTATGAAATCAGAAGTGTAGTGCTCAATTAAAAAATAATTGTACCACTTAGTAAATAATATTTTTTCATCTTCAAGATAAAGCAGAAGGAGAGAAAGAACAATACTGACACTTTATATGAAGTTGTGTGCTTGGAAAGTGAATCAGAGAGAGAGAGGAGGAAAACTACAGCCAGTCCCTCAGTTCGCCTGCCACAGTCTGGATCTCAGAGTTCAATGATACCTTCTCCTCCAGAAGATGATGAAGAGGAAGGTAAATTGTAGGGAGAGCTTAATTTCTATTATGGGGTGGTACACCATGCACACCATTATAATTTTACGAGGGAATTGATACTGTGACATAGCATTTGGAATTCTTTCAGTAAATACTTATGAGAATGTACTATATGCAAAGGACCATGGGAGATTCAAAAATGATGAGCACAGGACCTTCTTTAAGATAATTGTAATCAAGTTGGAAAAAATGAGATTTATAATTAGTGTTTTTTTAAAGAATCCGCATGTGCTAGCTTAGTGTATTAGCACATTTTTAGAGCAAACTTGACATAGCTTCCACCTAAATAAATGTTCCCATTTCAACTGGTTCATTTTACAGGGACAATTTCACTTGCCAAAATGTGGCTTCCACACATGACTCTTTCACAAAATATAAGTATTTAAATATATAAATTTATGTTTATGTATTATTGGATTTTCACACTGATAAACATTAGGAATCATCCAGTTCTTTTTTTCTCTCTCTCTCTCTTTTTTTTTTATGGTTATATCCATTAACTAATCTGTCCGTCTCTGTTAAAAGCTACTATATAGAAGTGAGAAGTGGAGAGGAGCAGCACAGGAATAGCAAAAGTTTGGGAAGCATTTTCTAACCTATAATTTTGTACCAGGACTTTTTATTTTTATAAAGAGGAAAAAAGCTGATTATGATAGAAGGTCATATGAAGCGTGTGTCTATGTGAGGTTCACAGAAAGTGTTCTGGAAATTCATAGAGGAGAATCCATTTTTCATTGTGGGGAGATGTGGTAGGACATCATGACGAGTAGTTTTTGAGCTGGGACTTTTAAAATTTGTTTCTAAAGTAAAATAATACTTTGTTTATATAATCCTCACAAAAGTTCTGAAAAACAAGATTTCTATTATCCTTATTTTGCACATAAGGAAATGGTATCTCAGAAAAATGAATTTGCCCAAGGCCACACAGCTAGAAATAGGCAAGGAGGATCTTTATCCAGTTCTGAGAGTTAGCAGTCTGAGCTCTATTCTGTAATCATCATGGTGCATTTAGTTCACATAAAGCATTTTGAAGTGCAAAGAAAGCACATATATTGTTTTGGGAGAAGTTGGAGATAAAATTTAAAGTCTTCCTGCAGAAACAGTTGAGTCATGTGTTAAATCTGGGAAAGGTGGAATTGTTCTCACCGTTTGAGACTGCTCTATAACTAGTGGTCTTGAGACTTGTAGTTTACCTTCTAAGTCAACACTGCTTAAGATGGAAGAGCAAGTAGGGCGCCTGGGTGGCTCAGTTGGTTAAGCGACTGCCTTCGGCTCAGGTCATGATCCTGGAGTCCCTGGATCGAGTCCCGCATCGGGCTCCCTGCTCGGCAGGGAGTCTGCTTCTCCCTCTGACCCTCCCCCGTCTCATGTACTTGCTCTCTCTCATTCTCTCTCTCTCAAATAAATAAATAAAATCTTTAAAAAAAAAAAAAGATGGAAGAGCAAGTAATAAAGAACTCTTCTCCCCTAAAACTCAGCAGTAAAAACAAAATGCACCATAAACTGAGACACTCTATTTTTATGAAACCAGAGAATGGTCAAATGCTGAATCTGAATGCTGTAGTTTTTAAAGAATATCTACCTGTTACAAAGAAATTTGGGCCCAGCTGAAGGATAACATCCGGACTAATGTCTAGTTCTAATCTATGGCAGGCATACATTTTTCAGTGGAATTGAGGAGTTCAGAGGGCCTCTAGTAACAGGTGTTAACTAGGAGAGATAAGGACCAATAGCAGACCATGGGAGAGTTAGGGAACACTAGAACACAAGTTCTGTAAAGGACAAAAGTGTCTTTTTTTTGCCCACATTGTTTCCCTAGTGTATAACACAATTCCTGGTGTGTAATAGATGCTCGGGAGATACTGGTGAGATAGGTTTACCCCCCCACCCCTCCAACCTTCCA